CATCTTTTTTTAAATTCCATTTTATTACTATCTTATCGTCAGTAGGGCTGAGGCTTCTCGAGACAACATCTCGCCTCGAGACGAGCTCTATACTATCTTTATCTTGCCTCGAGACGTCAAAATGTTAGACTCGACTTTGTCTAATCTCGTTTTAAAACAATGTCAGTCTTGGTATCATTTGTTAACTGTCTTGATACGTCTTAAAAGCATGACGTGGTAGGAAATTATTTTTTATACATGCATTTTTTTAAAATCATTTTGGTAAACTCTTCTATAAGCATACATTAAAACATGCACACATGTTAACATATTTTGAAAAACAAATTTCTCATTGACAGTGCTTGGTAGTAACATCAGGCAATGGTAATTTAAAAGTAATTACGACATAATCAAGATAATCACATCAATCAGAAGGTCCAAGCGGAGCAATCGTAATTCTTCACGCTTCATATCATTTTGCATTATACAATTCATTCATTGGTAAAATCTGACTTTTTTAAAAAATTCTTAATGATTTTTTCAAATTTTGACGTTTTGGTCACGTTTTTGTCTCGAATTTCTTGTTTTGTCTTCGGATGCCTCGAGATATGCTATTTGAAAGTCTCGTTTCGGTCTCGTTTTGAACTCTCAGTGTCTTTATCATGTCTTGTTTTTAAAAAACATTGTCTTGTCACAGCCCTGATCGCCAGCCGATACGATACATCCATGTACTGTACATATTTTGTACAATCGAACTGTATGATTGTGATTACAGGCAAGACAAGATATATAGCTGCATGGTGCTGAATATACACAAATTCGTAAATAAAAAAATTATAAAGCATACAAATTATTTTATCTGCATAAGTTTTATCCGTGTAACTATAATTTAAAAAAACGAAATAAATATGCACGAAAATCAAGACAACGCCAGTATATTAACAGTAATTCAAGGATATTAGATGTAAAAGTGTGTATATTGTATATAAATACTGTTTATATAAATGTGTGAGAGAGTTTGTGTGGTTGATATTGATAATCATGTACAAAACATTTAAAGACCGGAAAAAACACAAACATGAATGTGCCATACAAGGAGGTCTCGCACGAATGGCTCAATGTAAATACGTTTTCATACGTATTCATTTCCATTCAAAATAATTACTTTTATTCATTAAATTTACACAAATCTGTAAACAACACACCGAATTGATATTCTGATGGTTAAGTTTGATTGGACAAGTGCATTTTCATTTAAGTTTCTTGATGGTGATCACGATTGTGGTGTAAACAGATGGTTCAAGTGAATCAACTTTTATATTTTTAAATGCCGCCTTTTTTTTCAAATAAATTTATTTATCGCTTTTGTTCTTTCTCACTCTCTTTCTTTATCTCTTTCTTTTTTATATAAATCGATATTACCAGAGGCTGTGTATGCAAACAAGAATGAATACATGAAACCGAGATGTATGCCAAAACGAATAACCATTTCAATGAGATGCTTGTTGAGAATAGGTTCAGTTCCACAATATATGGCAGCATTGGTACCGTGATGTTTAATTGACAGTCGACAACCTACATTTCGAAACGTACCTCAATAAACAAATGCATTTTAGAGCAATTTCAAAACATTTAAGAAAATAGCAAAGTATTTTGTGGTTGATCAATGAATATGGTGCTCAAAACTGAAAGTGTTGGATGGAAATATGAAGTGAGGATGGAAACGAAATCACTTCAGCATTGTGAACTTCAACATATTCATAAACGAAATCTCCTGTATTTTTGGTGCGAGACATACTCTGGAATTGAAAAAATTTTTGCTATAACAAAATTCATTGAAACCGTTCAAACATAATCGTGCAAAAAGGGTTTTCAGCCATGTGAAGTGATGAAACGTGCTGTGTGAAGAGAGTTTTTGTAGTTGGAAGCAATCAAACGTCAGCATGTCAGTCAATGGAAAAATCAATTGTCCTTAATTCCAATGAGAGTCCATTGCGTTTGTTTCTGCTTGCTGGTACAAAATGTGACTCGATGCATGCATGTTTGTTTTCATTGCTGTTTTCCATTCGTTTTGCGTTGTTTTTGGAGGGAGGGTCCTGTGCAACTGGGCGGAAGGACGTGTCGTTCAAAAATGGAAGGGAGAAGATTTAAAAACTTTGGTTCATTGCTTTGCAGGATTATTTTGATGTTTCTTATTTTTTTATGTTTTTCTAAACTAACAAATTAAATTTTAAAGAGGATTTTAAAAAATTTCAAAAATTTTTTTTTAGGTTAAAGCTAAAAGTTGATAAGAAAACGTATGTATGCCTTTCAGCGAGAACGTTTAAAAATTCACTGCTCTTCCAAAATTAATGACATGACATTACGAGGTCCATTGTTTTATTTCACCCGCATGCAGCATCATTCAAAATGAAAATGCCAACTGCAGTTTCAGGCTCATCTCACTATAAGCCATGAAATTGTATTTTAAAACTTTAACATTTTGATTGAATCAAAAGCGTGAGCTAAATGTAAAAAACAG